CAGGTGGAGCTGTATCCCAGCGAGGTTGTGGAGATCCAGAAAAGTACGGAGGTGGCAGGGGTGGGACTCTCAACGTTGCTCTCCTGGGGGAGGGGTAGTGGGGAAGAAGGGGGGACTGTGGGGTGACTGGGGTCTTGTCTCAAGGGGGAGGCTGCGGGGAGATAATGAAGGCTTCCAGTTGCCTCTGGTACCATGGTTCTGGGAGGGAAGAAGGGCTCATTGTACAGATGGGGAAACCGAGGACTCAAAGGATGGAACATTTTGTGCTGGGCTACAGGCAGCAAGTGACTTCACTAAGGAATGTATGTATATTCTCAGCCCTGTGTACGAGTGGGCATAGTCCATGTCTTCCCTGGGAAGGCTGGCTGAGGAAGATAAAGCTGTTTATGCATTCATTTATTGAATAAATATATACTGAATGTTTCCCTGAGCCAGAACGACCCTAGGCTCTGTGGAGGCAGCCATGAGCAAAACAGATCAAAGCCTGTGGGCTTTATATTCCACCAGGGAGACAAATCGTAAATATATACTGCAGTGCCAAGTAGAGCTATGAAGACAATGAAGCGGGATGAGGGGTTAGCAATGGTGTGGGGTGGAGAGTGAAGGTGAAGTTCCAGGTGACCTGGCCACCCATTGCACATCATGCGAGAACCATAGTTATGGTAGGGCTCAGAGAAACAAGAGGTTATCTAGAGGGCGAGGAAGACAGTGGGTCCAAAACCTGGCACAAAGAGTGTCACTTTCCTCACCCCTGCACTTATACCTATCCTGACTTCAACTGCCCAAGGCCCACTCTCACAGGCAAGGTCTCTGAGAAAGAACCCCACTAAGAACGCAGCTCTTCTTCCACACCTCCTTGTGTCTTTTCATGTGTGCATTTTCTCTCCCCAGCTCACCTGCAGGTTCCTTGAGGGCTATGTCACATACACACGCTTTGTAACTGTACCTGCCAGCGTGAAGCATCAACTCCTCCCCTCTTTTTATAAGTTAGGACTTAATTTCCATCAGAGCAATACAGGTCCTAGTTAACAAGATAAAGGTAAAAAGAGCAGTAGTTCCCTTCCTCCTACCCCATTCCCCTTCTTTAGAGGCAACAACTTTTAAATTACTTTAGCTTTTTCTCCTGAAATGTGTCTCCATGGTTTTAATAATGTGCATAAAACAATTTCTTGATTCTTTAGTCAGGTCAATGACTGATTTCCTATTATGGACAAGGATGATTTAACTCTTGCAACATGCATGCGTATGCACGAGTGTGTGCTTGCACACATACACCCCTTCCAGCCTTCAATAAAATTAAGTCAGTATTCAATTTTTGCATTATTATGACTATGCAAATATTGTTTGCAGATGAGATATTTACTGTACGATGATAACATTTCATCTTCTGTACAATGGTACAGTGGAGTTATTGGTAGCCTCATTTTTTTCATTTGTGTTGTTTTCTATATATCAGGGTATTTCTATATACCCACCTACCTATATTAGTATACTAGGGCTGGTATATTGACTACTCTGCCTTACTGCTTCCAGAGTACACGTGTGGTATAGTAGATAGCTGGGTTTTGGAGTCTGATTGCTTGGGTTTGCCACTCCCGCTACTTACTCTACTCCTCTGTGCCTCAGTTTGTCCACCTGCAAAATGGGAATAATAGTACTTACTCATCATATAAATGAGGGGATTGAATGAGATAGCACCTGTGAAGCACCAGACATGTGGTACCGGTTCAGGAAATATTTGTTTTATTACTATCATTGTTATTATTACTATCATTGTTTCTACTACTAAATGTCCCATTTCTCCTCCATATGGCCCCCCAGTGGTCCACTATGAGGTTGAGATTTTGACGGGGGATGTGGGCGGCGCGTACACCACTGCCCGTGTCTACATACAGATCTATGGCGAGAAAGGCAAGACAGAGGTGCTCTACCTCTCCAGCCGCTCAAAAATTTTCAATCGGGCAGCCACAGACACGTTCCAGGTATGTTGGGGTAAGGCAGTGGGGGTGCCAACAGCAGGCCCAGTGGGTGCTTGCAAATGAAGGCATTGGACTAGATTCATGGTTCTCGTCTCTGGATTCTCATTAGAATCACCTGGGAAGCTTTAAGAAAAAAGTGCTGCCAGGTCCACACCTGGATCAGTTAAGTAAGAACCTCTATGGTGGGATGTTTTCTGGAGATGCTTCTCAAAGCTCTACCAGTGATACAATGTGCTGCCAATTCTGAGAACCGCTAGAGTCGCTAAATCTAATTTAGCAAAATATGGCCCGCCCTGTGGCCTCTGGTTGTACGTCTCTGTCAGCCTGAGGGCAGGGCCATGCTTCCCAGGCAGGATATTGGGAAGCTCTGGAGTGTCCTGGCTGTGTGCTGAGTGCCCTGGACCTCAACACTTCCCTTTGAATAGAGGAGAAAAAGAGACGAGAATGGGAGCATGTTGGCAGGAGAGGAGGATGCAAGGGTGATGCCCACTGGGGCACACATGAATGTTTTAGATGGAACATGAGTGTGTGTTTGCATGCAGGTGTGTGTCTGCAGGTTTGTGTGTGCAGGGAGCATGTTCAGGCTGGTGCTGTGTGTGTGTGTGTGTGTGTGTGTGTGTGTGTGCCACAGCAGCTGGGCCCTCAGCAAAGAGTCCTAAACCCAGTGCCCAGCAGAGAAGAGCCTGGCTGAGCTGGGCCAGGGTCGCAGGTGTATAGAACGTTAGTGATGGAGGGAACCTCACTGAGTCTAACCCCTTATTACACTGAGGAGGAGGCAAAAGCCCTAGCATCGTACTTCATTGAGCCTCAGATTCTTCACCAGTTCAAACCCAGCTTCATAATACTTGTCTGGCCTGCTTCATGGAAGGCTCAAAATAGCCAGAGTCAGGGGAAGTGCTTGGGAAATTGTGACCAGTCATGGAGATGTGACAGAGCAGCACATCTTCTGAATGCTAACGGGCTAGGTGGCTTAGATGCATTCATAGCTGGGCAGACAGATGGGGGAGTGGGGACAGCAAATGGGCCTCCCTGGAGAGGTTGATTGCAGGGGTGCTGTGACCTGGAAAACGCTGGAGAGGAGAGCCAGTGTGCTAAAGAAGGGACTCAGCAGGCCCAGAGCCCAACCACTCAGTAGCTGAGAAGAAATTCCTCTTTCCCAGGGATCCTGGGCTCCATTTTGGCTGATAATTCTCTCGCAAAGGTGGTTTGGGCTGCATCATGACTTCATGAACAGAGAGTTAGAAGACCTGAGTTCTTATCCAGGTTTGGATTCCAATTATGGGACACTGGGCAACTCATGAAACAGCCCTGAGCCTCAGTTTCCCCAGCATATAAGTGGGGGAACTGATAGGACAGGGCTTTGAAAAGTGTCAAGCATCTGGGAAGAGGACCCATCAGCATGATAGGTGCCCTTAGAGTGGCCCAACTGGCAGGGACACCATGTGAGCCCCCCACCCCCACCCCACTCCCAA